TCAGTAGGCAAGGTGGGTGAAGTGTCTTGCCCAAGGACACAATGACTGAGACGGCTGGACGGGGGATTGAACCGACTCCCCTAACCACTCTACCACAGCCGCCCCCAATAATGAGTTGCGTGAACTTGTTTTTAAGATTTAATTTTTTTTATTTCAAAGGTCCTCATGGCAGAGTAGCAGCAGCAGAAGCATAAATATTACTGTTAAGAAAGCTGATGATAAAGATGAATAAAAATCTAAGTCTGATTCTGAAGGTAAATTAAATATCTGACAGTGATCATTACACATTGTGGCTCTAATTCCTCACTTCACCATCTGTGTCGCAGTTTCCCGTCTCCAAAATGAGCGTACGCATGGGTCAGAGCTGGCGTGAGGCACCGCACATTTTCACGTCAAGTTTGGATTTTATAAATCACAACCTTGGTGTAAAAAGTGGCGTACGCAAGTTTCTGGGCTCAAATTGTGCGTACGCCAGTTTTATAAATCTGACCCCTGGATGAGTGGAGAAGACTTCTAAAGCCCAAGAGTCATCAGGGAGGTCAGAGTCCAGTTAGGAAGCAGCACAATCAGACTGACTGGCAGAATCACCACATTTACATCTAAGCTTAAAAGTTCTGCCTGTTTTTTTTTTATATTTTACTTAGATTCACTGTAAAGAAGCCATTACATGACTTAACAGTAAATAACTTTGTCCATTTTTCAACACTTTGAAAAAGTAACATCTGGCATTTATTTACAATTTTACTATATTAAAAAAGTGAAATAAAAATTTGAAATGAAATACATAAATGAGTATAAATTAGTTCTTCTACTTTTGTGAAACTGATGTAATGAATGGTATTCTGTAAAGAGTATAATTATGTATGTTTAACAGTTATCCTGTAGTAAAGAGTAAATATACTCAGTATAAATATACTAAGCCAGAAGTCTTCAACCCTGTTCCTGCATGTTTCAGCTGTTTCTTTGCTTTGGTGCACCTGATTCAAATAATTAAATTACCTACTAAACATAGCATCAAGTTCAGCAGAAGCCTGTCAATCACTCATTCCCTTCAGTCAGGTGTGCTGAAGCAGGGAACCATTCACATATAGGACAGTGGGTCATGAGGATCAGGACTGAAGACTCTGTTTCTGTTGGTCTTGTGAGCAGCTTCTGTCTCTCACAGCATCACCTCCAGCTTCCCATGGATCCTCCCTCTGCTGTGCTGCTGGAGACCTCTACCTCTTAAAAAAGGTACAAACAAGAAATGGTTCACTGTGCAAAAATACAAAGGCAAAAATGATTTTGTTCACTGATAAATAGTCAGCAAACATATTTCTGTGTTTCTCAGTGCATCATCATTTACACAGACTCCAAATACACACATTGTACAATCTTCCTGACTTGGTGCACTGTTCTAAAAACATTACAACACAAAACAACCATCAAGTTACACAAACAAATGGTTTATAATGTAAACACTAAATACTTTCTTTACTATCCATCTTCATTTTGATGACTGCAGTTCTCATCTGAGTAGAAAATTAACTAATCTAATGTCACATCTGTTAGAATCTGTGGTATTGTCTCCCTCTGCTCGACATTTGTGGTGATTACAGGTAATCCTGATCCAGGTGATCCCAATCACCTCATCAGCAGAACAAAGACAGAGGGAGAGTTTACAATCCGTCATTTTCCAGAACCTGGATTAGCATCAAGGCTAAACTAAACACTTGTAGTGATGCTAATACTTTGTTTTGCTTTTGTTTTTAAGCATCAGGAGCATCAGCATTGATTAGAACAGGTGAGAGAAAAGCTAAATGTCTTTTGAAATGTTTGTCAATCATAATAGCGCTAAATATCATATATCGTATCATATATCATATCATATCATATCAATCATATCATACATATCATATATCATATCATATATCATATATATCATATCATATATCATATATGTATCATTTCATATTTCATACTGTATATATCATATCATATATATCATATTTCATATCATATATCATACCATATGTCATATATTTGATATCATATCATATATTTGATATCATATCATATATCATATCATATAAATCATATACAGTATATCATATCATATATGTCATATCCTATATTTCATATCAAATCATATATCATTTCATATATCATATCATATTTCATATCATATATATCATATTTCATATCATATATATCATATCATATATCATATATTTCATATCATATATCATATCATATATGTCATATCATATATAATATACTGTATATCATATCCTATATTTCATATCATATCATATTTCATATCATATATATCATATTTCATATCATATATCATATATTTCATATCATATGTCATATCATATATCATATCATTTATCATATCATATTTCATATCATATATATCATATATCATATATTTCATATCATATGTCATATCATATATATCATATATCATATCATATATCATATCATATCATATATCATATCCCTCTCGAGGAGACTGGTACCAGAGTGGAACACTGAGGTGAGTCCAACTATACCTAGTCAGAACCTCTTAACCTCACACACCAACTCAGGCTCACATTGTATCCGACCCCTCCAGCCCCTCACACAGGTTGTGTGCCCATAAGAAGGGGGACCCCCACTGGGCTTCATGGGTGAAAGCCTGACCACCAGGCACTCGCCAACGTGCCCCACCTCCAGGCTTGGCTCCAGAGTGGGGCCCCGGTGACTCGCGTCCAGTCAAAGGAACACTAAGTCCTTTTGTGGTGCTCATCATGAGGGGTCTTTGGGCTGCACTTTGTCTGATCCCTCACCCAGGACCTGTTTGCCTTGGGTGACCCTACATAAAGCCCCTGACAACATAACTCCTAGTATCTTTGAGACACTCAAACCGCTCCACCACGATAAGGTATGTTAGCTAAATAAGCTGACCTGGATACATGTTAACTATATTAGTTAAAAGTTAACCTATCACTAGTTTAAACCATATGAGTTTGAGCTGGATCACAAAAACAGTGCCAACAGTATAACAAAAATAAAGCTGGGCAAAAAAAAAATACTTTGGTACCTCAAAAACAGTTTCTTTCAAATAAATCCTGGATCAGTTTTTGAATCTGTTTACTTTTTCTTTGCAAGGTGGGGCATCTGAGCATGTACAGTGTGAGTCATCACTCTAGCTTGTTTCTGTTTGGAGAAAAATGACGTGTTGCAACCATCCCTTGTTGCTGCTGTCCCCGGTCTCCCCTACCATTACTTCAGGACCTTTAAAAAGTGGGAGGCAAAAATACAATCTGTAACTCTTCTACAGCTCACCTGATTGGGATGTCAATCCCTTCAAATTAAAGTCTGCAGTTAAAGCACATCTTGTTTGATTCATTTCAAATCCATTGTGATGTTTACAGTAGAAATATGAGAATTGTGTCCCAATCTTTCTGGACCTGACTGTACAGGAGAGACATGTGAGGACTGTCCACTTCAAAGAGGTGGCAGCTTCCTGCCTGGATCCCTCTGGAGGTGTCTGCTCAGAAAAGTTCTGCAACATCAAAATGGGTCATCCGGCTGTTTTGTGAAGGTCGCAGCTCACTCTGAAATGAGTCAAAAAAATGGAAGTGGAACTCAGACCTCCAGGAATTGTCTGGATCAGCAACAGGAGCTATTATTGTGAGAGTTTTGACTGAAGATCAGAGGTCTGGGGTTGACAGGCTTTTTACAACTTGCCTGATTAAAAAAAAGACATTTTTACAGTTTTAAAGTATAAGTTTATTGTAGGCTTGTAGGTTTATTTAAAATGTTTTTTTTAACAGTGAGAAGAAATGCACTTTCACAGGTAAAAGGAAAGGAGCACAAATAGGATGCAACATGAAGGCCAAAAAGAGAAAAAGCTGCAAAAATAAATAAAAAATAAAATAAAACCTACAAAAGCATCAGAAGATGAAACGCTGGACAGAGTTGCATCAGACTGTAGATAGAGCACACCAACACCATTAGGATGAAATCCAAAGCAGACTAGTTGCATTAATACAATGTCACTGTAAAGCTGTGATCTTTAACACTTTGTGACACATTTACCTTTGAGAAAATTCAGCCTGCTTTTGAAAATCTGGAGATGATGTAACACAGAAGGTAACAGTGGAAAGAGCTGCGAGAAACTAAATATGTAAAAGTGAAAGCATTAAACATCTTAAATCAAAGGCAGGACAACAGAAGGACGACAGTTTCCTGATTCAGATGATGGTTTCGTGAAAACAGGAGGAACCTGCTGTACGTCACATTAGCAGCAACAGTACTGGTGGTGATGGAGAGCTGTGGGGACGAGGATGTCTGTACTGAATCCATCCTCTCTGATGCATGTAAAAAAAGCTTTTGGTTTTTGCACAATAGCAGCAGAATATTCTGTTGTGTACGATGAACCATTAAAGCAATGTTCTGGCCAATTTGAAGTAATTTGTGTAAAAGTTATAAACAACATCTTACCTGTTGTAGATAGCTCACTGAACGACCTCAGTTCTGAAAGTTTCCGACAGCACAGACAAGCTAACAGCTAATCTGAACACAACTCAGACCGAAGTGGGTTGTAGCCATCTAAAGCCAATTCAAATGTCCAAAATTTATCAGTGACTCATGCAAATCCTTTTTATAGTTTCTCATACATGAATAAATGTATGTCATTAATAATTATTTGCAAATGTTGTTAGAGTGGCAGCAAGAAGAAGCACTTTCAGCACAACATAAGGTCAATTCCAGCAGAAATTTCACATCTCTGCCTCATGGAAAAACACAATTTAAAAAGGTTTAAATAAAGTTTGCATGAACTGTTATGACATTTTAAAGATGAGGGTTGTTTTAGGGCAGTAAATCTTTGAGTTGGTCTGTTCAGGCTACTGTTAGCTGCTTTCAAAGCAAATTTAGTTGTCTTTAAACAGCATCTTAAAATTTGATAAAAATTCACAGAAACTTTATTCAAACATTTGCATTGATGTCAATTTAAAAAAAAGTTATTTCAGCTTCATGATGTTCTGGCCTTAATTGACCCTGACACTGGAAGTGCTACAGCTCACTGCTGCTGTTTGCAGTGGTGGGCACAGCAAACCAAAGAGCTGGGTTCCCTAACTACTAATACGCTAAACAAGAATCTTAGCTCAGCTAATCCTAAACCACTGAACAGATTAGTGGAAGCTAACGCTAACTGTTAAGATGGCTGTCACTCAGCCCGTGTTACACGTGTTGATCTCCTTCCATTTGAAGACTGGTGGGCCTGACAGGCACCTGTTGTTCCTACCTTTAATTCTATTGGTTTAATTTGCAGATGGGTGGGATTTGTGGCAAATTAGTCAATCCAAACCAGTTCAACTCTGTCTACTGATTAGCCAGAGTTGAACTCCAGATTCTAATCTAACTCTTTCAGAATAAAAGCATTGCTTTAATAGAGTTTAAATTTTATAAATACCATTTGAAGTTGGTTAAACAATTAGCAAAAACTCTTTTATATTATGTATTTGCATTGGTTGTTTAAAATATTAAATGATATTTTGTTCATTTTTAACACTCTTAGATTGAAGTTTAGCTGCTAAAGATACTTCATGCTACACACCTGGTGCCTAACAGCACTGATTGTAAAGTGGGATAGTTGTTATTTAGTTCAGAATAAATGACAAAAATAGAGGTTTAACACCAAATTTAAAATTTTTTAGAGGATTAAAAATGAACAGAATCTAATTTAGGTGAAACTAATCGGTCCACGGTTTCCAAAGTTAGCAAAAAATCGTATCTGCTACATAAGAGGCTAGTTCTGCTATTAGCAGAAACGTGCCCTCCCACTGGTTGTTTGCACTTGCAAATTGAATTTATTGTAAATATTTATGTATTTAATTTTAGAGATAGTCGCTGTTTTTAAGACAACAGCAATTTATTTTGACGCATTTGGATTAGCTGTTAGCATGTCCATCCAGTTAAACTTAAACTTTCTCCAAACTCAGGTTGTTTAAAGAGGTATCAAGATACTCATCGTCATTAACTATAAAACCATTTCTAAATAACCAAAATGTATCCTTTTAAGCAGACAATTGGAAAACAGAAAACTTGTTTCAGTGAACACAAACAGCATTTCAATAAGAGACAGCTGAAAATCAGGATCCTTCAATCAATGTTTTTTTTTTTCATGTAGACACACCAATAATGTTTTGTTGAAAGCAATCAAACACAGAGATAATATTCCACACTATAGAGGTCAATGAAATGTTGGTGAATGTCCTTATTTCACTTCTTCTCCAGAATGCCTTTGAGTCCACAACCTGAATTCAGTACAGAACCATAAGGGTTTAGCTGAGAAAATGAAAACTTATGAGAAGTAGTGAAAGAATGGAGCTGCAGTCAAACACTTGTTAGTATATTCTACTGACGTTTTATTGTTGAATGTTTGGAGCTGTAGGTACGGTGGTCAGTTCCCTGCAACACAACAGAGGCTGGAGAAACTGTACAAGCTTTTAAACATTATTTGTTGCTCGTTCATGCTGATGGACAGGTGCATGACTGAGGGACAGTAAATCTACCACCAGCTGAGACCCCACAGCCACCTCCACCACCTTTATCAGTTGTTCTCACAGCGGAGGCGCTCCAACTCCACAAACCTTGTAAACGATTTACTATATGTATCATGTCTGGTTATCAATACTGGTATACTGAAGCACAGATGTTTTGGAAGCACACACAGACGTCATCTACTTCTCTTTCATCCACCAGCACACAAAGAAAACTGATATATTAGAACAGAGTATCAGGACACCTTTGGCAGAACTGTCGTGCTCCTTGTTGCATTAGCAGAATCTAGGCTGGATCAGAGGTGATGTACCAATTAAAGCAATAGAAAATCCTGACAAAGTGACGACAGAAAAAAAAGGGTTGCCTTTGTGCAAATACAATATGACGGTTTCAGTCAAATGTTTCCCATTTCCTCCGCAGGTCCTCCGCTTTCTTTTTCGGCGGCGTAATGGGCGTGGCCAAACTGAGCAGGTCCCCAAACAGATCCTGAGCCTTTTGGTTCTCTCCCTGTGCCTGTGGTGGCTTTGGCAGCGCGCTCAGAGGCATGCTGAAGACCGATGTGGAGTCTACTAGGCTGGAGAGCGCGTGGCTGCTATCGGAGGGGTGGGGCAGGGGGGCGGCCGGCTGGGAGGGCTCGTGGCTGAGAGGCAGGGTGGAGCTGCCGGGGGAGGGCTGCCTGTAGAGCCCTGGTAGTGTAGAGAAGGACAGGGGCTGGGATGTAGTGTTCATGTAGGAGCCTGGAGGAGGGCCACAGATTGCACCGAAGGGATTCCCACTTACAGTTGGGGAGTAGTGCTGAAGGGGCTGGGCAAAAGGGTTCAGTGATATCTGAGGAGGAAGTGTGAAAGGAGGCAAACTCTGAGGGTAGGCTCTGGGCGGTAGTGGTGGCTTACAAGCAGGTAACGTAGTAATGGTTAATCTCTCAGTTAGTGTAGAGTTGTTGAGGGGGTCTAGAAGACTTAGTAGATCCATACTGTTCTCAGCAACCTTAGTGGGCCCCAGCAAGTCTCCATCAGTGGTCATGCTCAAGGCCTGCCTAAACTCCTGCCCCCCGGTTGTAGTCCTTCCTTCACCAAACCCTGCTGCTTTGGGGCGTGACAGGACCGCAGGGGGTGCGAGGACAGTTCCGAGCTCCGGCGTCTTCCTTCCTTGGGGACGGGGGATGGTTATGTTGGCAGGGTTGGAAAGCTCCAGAAGGTCTGGGGCTGAGCCAGCATTTTCCTGGCCTGGAGAAGAAGGGTCCACCTGCACAGGAAGCTGGACGGACGGAGGTCTTTCACAGGTGAGAGGCGCGCAAACAGGTGAGGCCGATCTGTCCTGGCCCACGCTCCACAGCTTGTTGTAAGGGTTGGAGAGCCTGAGACCCGGAAGTGTTCGTGAGTTTTCTCCCACATTCAGATCCATTCGCTGCAATCACAGAAATATATATACTTTAAAATATTGGGTTGCTTTAATAATAATAATAATATTTATTCATTAATTTAATTAAAAACAACATAAATTCAA